GGGGGGGAAGGTTAAAAGAAGGCCAGACAAATATAAAAAAGAAAGAAGGAAAATTACACAGATACTTTTAAAGTTTCTGAATTACAGTGCAAGAGATTACAGGGGAACTCATCCTCCCTAAAGCCCCTTCTGCTCTCCCCTCTTCTCCTTATCCTTCTCTGCAAATGAAAGTGTAACTTTTATTTATGCCTATATGTAAGTGCTAAGAATCAAAGGCATTACACGCAGCTTCTGGGCAAGCCAGCACACTGCAGGAAAACAAAAAGGCCATTATTTGGATGGAAGAATCAGTCTGTATTACTGACTTGACTGGTCCCCTTTTTTATTAGCAGCTGTTAGAGCAGGGATCAGAGAATGTGCTGGTGTGGTGCAGCTGTTCCACATATGTTATAAATAAGGGCTGGTAAAAGCTCATCCTATTTTTAACGTTAGGGGAAAAAACCCAAGTAGTCACAGAAATTCCCCATTAATGCCTTGTAAGTGGAACTTTTCTCCTATTCTTGACTTTAATGTCCAGAGCTGCATGGACAAAACAGGCCATTCTTAAAATAATATTCATTAAAAAAAGAAAAGAAAACGCAATTTAGTGGAATTAGATTAAGTCAGCCCGGAAGATGTAACCAATTAGTGTGTACAGTGTCTTTTCCTTCAAAAGCAGACATTTAATCAGGATGAAAAAAACCTCCTGTGATTCCATTTCTAATAAAAATGTGGGATTACAGCACTGAAGAGTTTCTCTCGCACAACCTAAAGCTGAACTCAGCACCACGCGGCTTGGACGCCACCACCCGCCCTTCCCAAACTGGTCCTCACTTGCCCCTCGCTGGGTTGCTGTGTGTGGCCAGAGCCCATCACCAGCTCCTGCTCACCAACTCCAATGCTGAAAAGATCAACGACGATTCAAGGCCAAGGCAAAATCCCAGCCCCACGCAAAGCCCCCGCTCACCTGTTTTCGGGGTCTGACACCGTCATGTTGCGCGTCACGTAGCACATCTTGAGCGGTATTGTCTTCTTGTCTCTGTGGATGGAGAGCGAAAGCTGCGACAGGGGGTCAGCAGAGGCGCAACCCAAGCGGGGAGATTCGGGGGGAGGTGTCTCCCACCCAATTTCTGAAACAGGAGAGCCTTTCTTCACATAGGGTGTAGCTTCTCTCATGTATTTCACTATGAAAAAGAGAAAAAAAAAAAGGGAAAGCAATAAATAAATGGATATTCAGCAGTTGCATCCCATGGGAGTTCTTTGAACTAGCACCGACCCTCAGCGCTGTTTATTACTTCTGCTTGTCCAGCACCACGGCATTGGAAGCTGTGCAAATACAGATGGACATCCGACTGCAGCCCACGTCAGTACAGCGCAATGAGTAAAAGGGGGGAAAAGAACAGAATAGGTGAAATAAGAACACAGAGCTAATGTAAGGCCAGGAGAGCAATCCCACCTCTACTCGACAGGCTGTAAGTCCTGATGCAGCAATTCCTATGTACAGAAGCCGTGGGCTGGCTGAGGTATAGGGAAGTTTTTAAGACAGACATTCAGCCAAGTGACAGTGAATCTATTATTCCCCTATCTAAAATGTTGCAGTGATACTCCCAATGCTGCAAACTCCCATCTCGCTTCTGGTTCATGCTTGTCAAGCATCCCGCCACTGATCTCAACAGCTGTTTCTGCTTGCTGGGAAGCAGTTTTAGCTGATCTACTTGTACATATATATATGGAGTAAACAAAAACCAATTCACCTCTTAGCCTTCTCTTGGGGAAATAAAATTGAGTTCAAGCTTTTCGTGAGAGTGGAGGTGTCAGATTAGATCTCTTCTCAGCCTCTTCCAATGCTTTTTTGCAGTATGGATAGAAAAAGTGAATGTAGGATTCCCAAATGAACTTAATGTATGCAAAAATCAATACCTATATTACACTCATACTTCATATTCCCCTCTTTATGCAGGCAAATGCTGCAACATTTTCCCTGGTTTTGAATTCTTTTGGCAGTTCAAGATGACTTTTGCTTTTCATGTGCTCGGCAAATCTGCCAGCCACGGTCTCCTGCTCCTTCACAAACCTGATGGAGCTCAGCCAAGAAAAGACCTCACATTTAAGCACCCTGGTTAAACGTATATATCCAATGCACACAGCTGTGGCTGCCTAACTGGCTATCACCACTTGATTGTACCCATGACTCAAAGAGTGACGAGATGAACCGAAAGGGCAGGAGCACCGTGAACTTATTTGGGGAAGTTATTAAAATGTTATGAGAGATGATTTCAAGGAAACGGTGCAGATAATCATGTCAGCTCGGCTGAAGAGGCTGGGAATGATTGAATAACAAACAGATGGGTAAATTACAAAAGGGCATTGTGGTGAAGGAGGTTAAATTAGGGAAAGCAGACTGAAGTTTTTAAGTTCAACGTGAAAGCAAGGGAAGTATTCAGACGAGTGGAGAACAACAACAGTGTTTCTGTCAAAGCTGCAGATAAGGTGGATAATTTCAGCAGCATTATTTTCAAGGCACTTCATAACAGCTTTACCAAGAGAGATACCTGTGCAGAGCTACAGTCCAGGCTCTGTGAGCATCTATTGCCGTCTTTCCTCTAAAACACCTTAGTGCACATATTGCCATTGCTTTCTCTCCTTTTTAAAAATCTATTAACCTCAATATTAAGGACTTCTGTGTTGAGGTATTTTACAGAATATTCCTCTGTGAGAAGGGTCATTTGTGATTTATCAGAAATGCTGTCCTACTCAACACTGCTGACTTGATTTCTTTGCCTCATATTCTGACTAATTTTTGAAATTCATTTCTTCCCTGCTCAGGGAAGGGCTGCACGAGATTCTACCAGGCTTACAGAAACTGTTTAAGGAAAAGGGTGTTGAGACTGATTTTTTTTATTTGTTTGTAGACATCTGGTTGGAGTTCATTATCTAAAAACCTGTGTCATTTAACTCTCAAAACCAGTGCCCATCCTCGGGCACTCCTTCAAATACCTGACTTTTCAAAGGTGATGACAATGAGCAGTTTTAGCCAGTGCCATACAGACATTGGTTTTAGCAGTCAGCATCTCAGTTTGGATGTACTCATGGCCTTTGGGAAACAGAGGCTAAACACATGTTTTAGATGTGGTAAATCTATTCCTGTTTACACTGAACAAATATGAATTTGTCATTCACTTAGATGGGAGGAACAGCTGAAGGTGTAAAAAGCATACCTGACTGCAAACAAAATTCTGTTCGCTTTAAAATTAGAGATTATCAATTAATCTGTTGAAAAAAAGTATTCCAGTTGGCTTTAGAACTCCGTTACAGTAACACATCAGCAAACGTGATACTAAATAAAGTCCAGGTCTCAACAGTGTAGCTATTTCATCTGTGCTATTTTCATCCTTTTTCAGCTGCAGCTATATGCATTCGACCTGAGCATCTTTTAATTAAAGGAAAGAGAGAGGGGCAGGAGGAGGAAGGAAGTTGAAGTGAGAAATTTGGCTCTAAACCTAAGCAGGAACACAAAATGTGAATTTAATTCCCCAGATGGGGACAGAAGAAAAGAGCCATCCCTTCCATGTGCCAAGAAGCAGGGCTTCCATGCAAAGCACCGGTGAATTCGTGTCAGACAGCTGCACTGTTTCAGAAACGCCTGGGAAAGAGGAAGCAGGAGCAGGAGAGAGCAGAAACAGAACCCTCTTTCCACAAACTGAGTCTTAAACACAGCAAAAGTCAAGAAAATTACCTTGAGGAAAAATGTCCTATGCAAACTCCTGCCAACTTCTGAACTCCCAGACATCTAGTTTCTACTAACTCTCAACAGGAGATGGTTGCTCAGCTCATGGAGACTTACATGAATAAAGACCCATTAATATACTGGTAAACTGCTGAACACCACCTTCCTACAAAATTCTACCAAAGAATTAAAAAAAGAAAGCGAATATAGGTTTTCTGTAAAAAAAAAAAAAAAAAAAAAAAAAAAAAGGATTTAAGTAGTTTTCCATTAATTACTTCCTACTTCCCACTAAATACAAGCACAGCTCTCTAGATTCATCGCTGAACTCTGCTGGGTTTTACAAACCAGACTTTATGGCTCTTACATATTCAAATGTGTTTCGTATTTTAAAAGCCCACAAATGGATACATATAAATGCACAAATGGAATATGGGAGTGGAACAGGTGGCAGAGCTTGATCCATTTATATAATTTTTTGTATTACTTAAATTTCAGAGCCACTGTTTTCCATTTGCACCATCAACATCCATAATTACACGTCCATAACCAAAGTCCAGTTTATGAATTTAGCTGATGTAAGGCACACGCTGTTCAGATGACACATAAGTTTTATCAGCAATTATTTCCTATTTACCTCTAAACTCTGGATGCAAATACTGCAGTACACTCTGTTTTATACCAATACACTAATAACCCTACTACACACACAGCAATTTATGGTGACCCCACACGTGTCTACATTTTGCAGTCTTAACCAGTTCTTAATCCACCTAGCAGAAAACAAGTTGATACCAGTATGTGTTATGGGCATATTCCTATTCCACACTGCACTATCTGAGAATCTTGAATGCAGCAATGTTAATGTATAACTGAAGTTATATAATTCACTTCCATCATCAAGTTTTAAGACCAGAAAAAATATGATACAGACTGTTGGACATTAAAGTAATAAAGTGGATAGTATTCTGTTCTCAGATCATTACCCTCAAGAGCTAGATTTCCCTTTGGATACAGTAGCACAAATCCAAATACTGACTGAAAAAGAAAGCAGCTGTACAGAGCACTGTTTTTTTATATTGCCAATGAAACTATCTAATGGATTAACCCCCCAAAACATTTAATAAAATCAAATAAGGCATGCCATTGTATAACAACTCTGAGTTATGTATAACTATTCTACACGCACGTATATATATGTCTTCAGAATAAATACGTGTAATATTTATATAAATATTGAATATCTATTTATATAAAAATGCTACATTCTTTAAGACCACCCAAATGTACTCTGCAAACATAGAAACCAACATGCAAGGACTGAGAAAAAATTCTAATGGTTTCATTATTATAACTCAATTTACTGATAGCCTGCAATTTCACTTGAGAGTTGTCTAAACTCATCCATTTGATGCTATAGCTCAACCTCAGAGACCCTTATATTCAGTACTAATTAATGATACATGCCCTTTTGGTGCACCACTAATTAGAAACTGTGGTCAAGCAAGTAAAATTCCAATCTCCAGAGTGCCCCTCCCCACAAAGAGGAAGGGAAGTGGCAATCAAATGAATTAATCCACTGATACACATTGAAATACTTTGCATTTATTTTTTGATCTGCAAGACAGGCAATGTAGGTTCCAAAAAAACACTTCATTCACAGGCATTTCTGCCAAGTCCCAAGTCTCCACAATTAATCCTTTGTTACTGTTCACAGATGACTTTGGGTTTTTTGGGGGGGAAAGAAGCAGGCTTTTAATGAGAGAAATACTACAGACCAACTTGGTCAGGTTCTTGGCCAGACGCAGTTCTGAGGAACTGGGACTCTTCTAACACATTCAGACTGTTTCCTAGGAGGAAAGACAAAGACCACTGAAGAGAAGCCAGCACTCCCGAGCAAAGCTCTTTGGTTACTATAGGAATGAGGACAGGATGTGTAGGTTTACAATATGAAAGCAAAAGGAACAACATGCCCGAATCTGCTCGAAGAAAGATGATCAAGGAATTCCCCTTTGCAGGGGAAAAGCACAGAGTCTCCTCTTTATGCATTGATTCTCTCCTAAGCACTCAGAGACAACTACCAAAGGTAAGTAGAAACCATCACCCAGAAACCTCTTGAGGCTGTTTTCAAAGGATGCGCTAATGTTGTTGATACCTATAGCCAAAAAAGATAGGTTTTCCAAAGTTCCCATAAATCTGCCTTCATCTGGTCTGGTTTTTGCCATGGTAAAAGATGGCCCAGAAAAGAGTAGCTAGGCAAGTCCTCCACCAATGTTAAGACATTGTAAGACTGCATGGAGGGATCAACCTTTGGAGTCACTCAAGCCCACAAATTGAACATGATGAGATGAATTGCTTTCATCAGCTTACTCAGTACGGAGGGGCTTTTTAATTCATCTATGCTGAAGCAATTACACCAGGCCATCTGCAAGGGTATTGTGGGCAGCGTGGCATACAAAA